TTTAAAATCAGTTAATTAACATATAGTATATTATTAGTTTCAGAGGTGGAGTTTAGTGATTCATCAGTTGCATATAACACCCAGTGCTCATTACATCAAGTGCCCTCCTTATTGCCTATCACCCAGTTACCCCATCTCCCCACTCCCTCCCCTCCAGCAACCCTCAGGTTGTTCCCTATAGTTAAGAGTCTCTTACTGTTTGTCTCCCTCTCTGATTTCACCTTATTTTATTTTTCCCTCCCTCCCCTAGGTTCATCTGTTTTCTTTCTTAAATGGAGAGAGAGAATCTTAAGCAGGCTCCATGCCCAGCATGCCCAATGCAGGGCTTAATCTTATAATCCTGAGATCATGACCGGAGCAGAAATTGAGTTGGATGCTTAACCGACTGAGCCACCCAGGCGCCTCATTAAATTCCTTTTATTGAACTTGGAGTCACATGTGGAACAATATACGTGGCCTCTCTTTTCCTACAGTGCATTTTTCAGATTATCTTTTAATGATTACTAAAAAGTGAAGAGATACAAGGGTTAACAGTTTGGATGAGATTCCTTTCCAGAAATGCCATAAACTCAAAATGAGCAAGTCTTTTGTTAAAAACCACAGAATCAGTCAGTCTGTGAATTGGAGAAATTGCTGGGCTGTGAGTGGCAGAGATTGGAAGTGGAATTCCAAACAGTGGCGCATTTGGGAAGGCTGCCTGCCCTGATGAAGGCACTTCATCATCCATGGGGATTCTTAAGAGCAGGGTTTCTGAGGTGTGCCCTGCTGGCTCACTCAGTACAGCACGTGACTCTTGCTCTCCAGGGTCATGAGTTTGAGCCCCACGTTGGGCCTAGAGCTTACTTAAAAAAAAAGGGGGGGGAGGTCTCTGAAACACTAAGCCACCTATGAGGTGGATTTTTAACCTTAGAATAAAGGTAGAAGTTGACAAGATAGACTCGAAGCAGAAAACAAGCAAAAAATAATAACTTTGCCTGTGCAGTGAAATAATCTGCTTTCCTTTCTACTTAGCAACATAGTAATCCCATCTTTTCCTCACCCTGTGGGGTGAGCAGCAGGTAGAGGGAGCCCAGGGCCTGAGGCCAGAGTAGCACCCATCTCTGAGCCCCAGGGTGGCAGCTGCAGCCCAGGGTCAGGTGAGAAAGCCGCACAGAGAAGAAGGCCTTCGGCTCCAGATGGGAGTTGGCCACCAACTTCATCTCCCAGAGCTCTTCTCTGCCTCCCCGTTTTGTTTATCCAAGGAGGCCTTCTCCTTACAAACTCCCTCCCATCTGCTGGATCTCTCGCAGATGACGAAGGAGTTCAGGACACAGCCCCTGCTTACTAGGACTCGTTCTCAGCCCAGGAGGCTCTCGGGACAGAGGTAGCTCCCTTTACGCTTGGGATGTTAGGTTTTGAAAGGCTGCTGAAAATCTCTTCCTACCCTTCAAGTGGCATTATACACGTTGCTGCCATGCTACCCCTCGGTGACGGGCGGGACAGACGTGCTCTGGTGCAGAGCGCTGTTTCGGTCTGAGGCAGTTCATAAAGTTAGGAGTTTCTGAATTGCCTAAATGTGAGTAAACAGGATCTGTAACCTGGGCTTAAGAGAAGAGCAAAAGTCTTGGCTTTCACTGCCTCATGCGCTTAATATCAACAAACACTATGGAAATCTGAAAAAGTTCTGGTGATTAAAGAACTCTGCCTATTACCAAATCCCCTCTTTTGGTAGGTTTCCAGTTTGCCTGGAGTGGAGCTCAGAAATGGAGACTGTGGGCCAGCGTTGCTCTACTTTTGGTTGGACATTTGAATCCTTGGGGAACTTTTAAAGTGATTAATGCCCAGGCCATACCTGCAACCAATGACATCAGAATCTCTGGGGGTTTATTTTTGTTTTTATTTTTCAAAGCTTCCCATTGATTCCAGTGTCCAGCCCAGGTTGGGAAACAACGTTCTAGGCAGATTCTGGAGTTCGTTGCTGGCAGGTTGTCTGCCCTTGGACAGACAGGACTTGGTGGGCCTCGAAGGGAGGTAGTCACAGGGCTAGTAGACCGTGATTGGGACCTCCCTATTCCAGGGCAAAGGTTCTTTCCTAACAGTATGCTGCTTCTCTCTTTTTTGCCTTCTGTTTCTTGCAGAGCAAGAGAATGTAGCAGAAACCTTGGCCTTGGGAGCTATTAGAGCTGTAGAAAATAAGAAATACTAGAGTTCTATAAAGTCTGTAAATTCATGTAATTTTGAACAGCTGGAAAGCTGTGTAGTACCGTGTCATGGAAAAGGAATTAAATCAGAGATGT